GGGGGGGTCAGAGAAGACAATGGGGGGCCCCTGGAGTCTGGGGACCCCCCGACCCACCTCGTTCTTCTGGAGCAGCAGCTGCACCGAGGGCAGGTCCTTGCCGTGGTCCGTGGAGGTGGCCAAGGCCTGGCGCTCCTGCACCCACAGCTGGGGGGACACAGGGGGACAACGGGGTCACTGGGGGTCACTGGGGGTCACTGGGGGTCAGGGCCAGGGCCTGGCACAGCCAGGGGGGACACGGGGGGGACATCATGGTCATGGGGGGACATCTGGGTCAGGGGCAGTGGAGGGAGAGGGACGAGGGGGTGGCCAGGGATGGGGGACAGTGGGGACAGTGGGGACAGTGACCCACTGGGGGGTCAGGGTGGGGGCTCAGGGACCCCCGGGGTCAGTGACAGCCCCCCACTCACGAGCTCGTCCTCCAGGTCCCTGCGGAACTGGAGCAGCTCCTTGGTGGCCGCGAGGCTCCGGCCGCGCTCCCGGAGCGGCTCCTGCAGCTCCCGGAACTGCTGCTCCAGGTCCTGCACCTGCGCCTGGACCCCCCCGGTGCGGGGGTGCCCCGGGCTGAGCCCCCCGGCCTGGGCCCGCAGGGCTCCCACCTCCTGCTCCCGCAGGGCCGCCTGCGTCTCCAGGAGCTGGGGGGGCCAGGGGGGCTCAGGGACCCTGGGGGGACCCTGGGGGGACCCCTCAACCCTGCACCTTGTCCCTGCACCCCAAACCCACACCCCAACCCTGCACCCTCAACCCTGCACCCTGTCCCTGCACCCCAAACCTACACCCCAAACCTACACCCCATCCCTCTACCCCAAACACACACCCCAAACCTGCAACCCAAATCTGCAACCCAAATCTACACCCCAAACCCTGCACCTCAAACCCTGCACCCCAAACCCACCCCCCATCCCTGCCCCCCCAAACCCACCTCCCATCCCCACCCCCCAAACCCTGCACCCCTTTTCCCTCCATGCCCCCCGTGCCCTCACCTGGTGCCGGGTGAGCAGGACCCCCACGCTGGTCAGGTCCTGGCCGCAGTGGCCGGAGCGGAGCTGGGCCCGGACGCCCACGAGCCACGAGCGGAGCCCGGCACAGGCCTGGGCACAACCCTCGGCCTGCGCGGCCTCCGCCAGCCCCCGGCCCTTGGCCCCGGCCGCCGCCTCCACCCGCGCCCACAGCGCCCGCAGGGCACCCAGGGGACCCGTCACCTGCTCGGACAGGGACGGACGGGACCCCGCCAGCTGCTGCCCGTCCTGTGGGGGACAGAGATGTGGGATATGGGGACACAGGGATATGGGGATACAGGGATATGGGGACACAGGGTCAGAGAGACACCCCGGGAGCGTAGGTGGACACTTGGCACCCTGGAGCCAAGGGAATTGTGGGATCATCGAGGTTTGAGCCCGTGGGATCATCGAGGCTGGGCCCAAAGATTTCTGGAGTGGTTAAGGGTTGGAGCCACAAAACCTCGGGATCGTCGGGGTTGGACCCGTAAAACCCACAAACCCCACGGAATCACGGGATCATCGACACCGGACCCATGGGATCACGGGATCATCGACACTGGACCCACAGAATCACGGGATCGTTGAGGTCAGACTCCTGGAATCCTGTGACCCAACCCCCCACCTCCTCCCAGATCTCACCTTTTCCAGGTGCCCCCCTCGTCCCCCACCCCCCCCTCCCCATTCCCAGACCCCCCCTCTTCCCCCCGTTCCCACCTTCTCCAGCGCCTCCAGCCAGCCCCGGTTGGCCGCCAGCTCGGCCACGAACGCCTGGTGCTTCTGCCACTTGCCCTGCAGGTCCCGTGTGCCCTCGTAGGACACGTCCCGAGCCACCGGCAGCTTCTCGTTGAGCCAGAGCGTCAACTGGGAACGGGAATGGGAATGGGAACGGGAATGGGAATGGGAATGGGAATGGGATGGGGGGCGTGGATCCGGACCCCTTCCTGTCCCGTCCCATCCTGTCCTCATCCCCATCCCACCCCATCCCCTCCCATCCTCATCCTCTTCCCATCCCGTCTCACTCTGTCCTCATTCCCAGTTTCATCCCCAGCACATTCCTGTTCCCACGTTCATCCCATCCCAATCTCCATCCTCATCTCATCCCGTTCCTTCTCTTCCCATCCCACCTCATCCCACCCCTGTTCTCAGCTCCGTCCCATCCTAATCCTGTCCCCATCCTCATCCCAACCCCATCCCATCCTCGTTTGCATCTTCATCCCCTCTCTGCCCCCATCCCATCCTTGTTCTCATCCTCATTCCATCCCACCCCATCCCCACCCCATCCCCACCCCAATCCCGATCCCTGTCTCACCTCCTGCGCGTCCTGCAGGAACTTCTGCAGCTCCCAGTTATCCCGCAGCCGCCCCAGCAGCTCCTGGGCCGATTCCCGGTTCTTCTGGTGCCTGTGCCAGGGCCGGGGGGAGATTCCCGGGATGGGACGGGATGAGAACGAGGATGGGGATGGGAAATAGAACAGGATGGGGCGGGATGGGATGTGTGGAATGGATGGATAGGAAGGACTGGGAAGGGATAGATGGGACAGGATGGGATGGATGGGTTGGGTGGATGGGGTGGGATGGGGGGGGTTGAATGGAATGTTGTGGGATGGGATGGACTGGACTGGAAGGGACTGGGTTGGGATGGGATGGGGATGGATGGGGAGGGGTGGGATGCATGGGATGGACTGGGATGGGCTGTGACGAGCTGGGATGGGGTGGGATGGGGTGGGATGGACTGGGAGGGTGGACCCGGGTGTCCCTCACCTGCTCTCCACCGACTCCACCGTCTCCCGCACCTTTTCCGCGTGGACGCCGCCCTCGGCCAGGAGCCTCCGGCCGGTGTCGCAGAGGGCCCGGACCCGCTCGGCCCCGGCCTCCATGGCCACCAGAACCTCCTCCAGGCGCCGCACGGCCGCCTCGGCCCCCGGCACCGAACACGGCAGCTCCGTCAGCGCCAGAGCGTGCTCCTGGCAGGGGGAGAGGGTGGGATCAGGGGTGGGGTTGGGATCAGGGGTGGGGTTGGGGTCAGGGTCAGGATCGGGATCAGGATTGGGATCAGGATCAGGGTCAGGGTTGGGATCAGGATCATAGTTTGGTTTGGGATCAGGATCAGGATTAGGGTCACGGTCAGGATTGGGATCAGGATCAGGATCAGGGTCAAGATCAGGGTTGGGATCAGGATCAGGATTGGGCTCAGGATCAGGGTTGGGATCAGGATCAGGGTTGGGATTGGGGTTAGTGTTGGGATTGGGGTCAGGATCGGGGTCACACCCGGGCCATTCCCGACCCACCGCCCCCCCCTCACCTGCTTCCCGAGCGTCCCCTCCACCTGCTTCGCGTCCCGCAGGAACACGTGGACGGCCACGGCGCGGGCCAGGAGCTGCTGCCGCCTCTCCCAGGTCCGGCCCAGCTCCTCCCAGTCCCCGTCCAGCGCGTCCAGGCGCCGGAGCAGGGACAGGCTCTGGGGGTCGCTCCGGCCCTGGCTCAGCTCCCGGCCGGCGGCGCGGGCGCTCCGGTAATCGGCGCCGTACTGGGCGATCTCGGTGCGGAGGCTCTCGTGGCTCCGCAGGGAGCCCTCGGCCTCGGCCAGCGACGCCGGCACGTCCTCGGAGCCGGCGGCCGCCCGCGCCCGCGCCAGCCAGGCCCGGAGCGCCGCCAGGTCCCGCAGGAAGGCCTGGAGCCGCCGCGCCTGCCCCAGGGCGTCCCGGCGGCCCCGCAGGCACCGGCTCAGCGCGGCCCACTCGGCCTCGAGCGCCTGGAGCCGCTCCCGCGCCTCGGGGCCGCGCTCCGGCTGCTCCCGCGCCAGCCGCTCCCCCTGCGCCCGCAGCTCCCGCTGCTTGCCCTCGATGGCCTCCAGGTCGCGGCCCAGCCCCGAGAGCCGCCGCTGCAGCGCCGCGATCCCCGCCAGGTCCCGGCCCAGCGCCCGCGTGGCCTCGATCGCCGCCGCCTTCTCCCGCATCCAGCCCCGCGTCTCGTCGCACTCCAGGCGGAAGTTCTGGATGTCCAGGGCCGAGGTCAGCGCCGCCTTCTTCCGCTCAGCCAGGGCTCGGAAACGCTCCCACCTGGCACGGGGGGCACCAGGGTGTGGGTGGGACAGGGCACGGGAGCACCTGGAGCATCCCGGGCTGCCTGGAGAACCCACCCGGGTCTGGAGAACCCATCCCAGCCTGGAGAACCCACCCGGGTCTGGAGAACCCACCTGGGTCTGGAGAACCCGCCCCTGCACCCACGGAACGTCTCAGCCTGGAGAACCCATCCCTGCCTGCAACATTCCTGCCTGCCTGGAAAACCCATCCCTGTCTCTCCGGAGCGTCTGTCCCAGCGTGGAACGTCCCACCCCTACCTGGAGGATCCATCCTCACCTGGGACATCCCAGCCCAGCCTGGGGCTTCCCTCCCTGCCTGGAAAAGCCATCCCTGCATCCTTGGAGCATCATCCCACCTGGAACATCCCTGCCTGGGACATCCCTGCCTGGGACATCCCTGCCTGGGACATCCCTGCCTCCAGTGCCCCCGCACCTGTCCCGGAGCTGTTCCCAGGTGTCCCGGGCTCTCTCCCGGGTCCGTTCCCCGGATCCCTGGAGCTCCTCGGCCGCGCGACCGACGGCGGCGACTCGGGCGCCCAAGGCCGCCAACTCCGGCTCCAGCGTCTCGAACCTGCGGGAACGCCGGGAATGCTGCGAGCTCCGGGAGCACCGGGAGCGCCACGGCAGGGGTGGGAACCCAGAGAGTGCCAAAAACACCGGGAATGCCGCGCTGGAGGTTGGGGTTTAGGGAGTAGCAGGAGCACCGGGAATATCGGAAATGCTGTGTTGGAGGTGGGAATTCTGGGAACACTGGGAACGCCACGACAAGGAGGGAATTGGGAGAATACCGGGAACACAGGGAATAGCACACGGGAGGTGAGAATTCTGGGAACGACGGGAACACCGGGAATAGCGTGGCAGAGGTGGGAATTCAGGGAACACTGGGAATACTGGCAATAATGGGAATACTGTGAATAGTGTGGCAGAGGTGGGAATTCAGGGAACACTGGGAATACTGGCAATAGTGGGAATACTGGAGAGATCTTCATTCTCCGGGTATTCCTGGGATACACATTGGATCACAGCACCGGGACCATTCCAGCAGGGAGGAACTGTGACCCCCCCCCCCCTTCCCGTGAGGCTTCCCCGGCGCTTCTTGGGATTTCCCCGGCCGCGCCCCCCCCCCGCTCACCGCTGCTGCACCACCTCCAGGTCCTCGATCCGCTCGGGAATCTCCATGGAGAGCAGCCACTGCTCCCTCTCGCCCACCCAGAGGGCGCAGGCGTCGGCCTCTCCCCGCGCCGCCAGCAGCGCCAGCGCGTCCCGCAGCTCCCTGCGCCGCGCCTCCGCCCGCGCCTCCAGCTCCCGGTGCCGCCGCTCCAGGACCCCGGCGGAGCGCTCGTCCTCGTCGGCGTCGTGGTGGCCTCGCTCCTCCGGCCCCGCCAGGCGCCGGCACGCGGCCGCCAGCCAGGCCTCGGCCTCGGCCGCCTCCGAGGCCACCTGGAAGCGCCCCACGGCCGCCCGGAGCCGCCGCTCCCGCTCCCGGGCCAGCGCCGGCAGCGCCGACCAGAGCGCCCGCAGCGCCCGCAGCCGCCGCGACACCGACGGCACCGGGCCCGGGGAGTCCCCGGGTCCGCCGGCGGCTCCCACGGACGTGGCCTCGGCTTCCGTGGCTCTGGCGGTGGATCCCACGGGTTCTGCGCTCCCCCCTGCTCCGGCGGCGGATCCCGTGGATCCAGGGGTGAGTTCCATGGGTTCCACGCTCCCTGCTGCTCCAGTGGTGGGTCCCATCAGCCCGTCGTTGGATCCCTCGGCGGGTTCCACAGTTCCCCCGGATCCCGCCGCCTCCTCCGTGTCTCCGAGCTCCAGCAGCTCCCGGCCCCGCTCCAGCAGCCGCTCCAGCGGCGCCGCCCGTCCCCCCAGGGCCCCCCGGATGGCCTCGAGCTGGCTCAGCATCCGCAGGGCTCCCGGCAGGTCCCGGCCCAGCTCGGGGCAGCGCAGCAGCCGCTCCTGCTCCCGCAGCCAGGCCTCCTCCTCGCCCGCGTCCCACACGAACTTCCAGAGGCGCCGGGAACGTTCCAGGCGGAGCCGCCGCCGCCCCGACAGCGACGACAGGTCCCGGTAACGCAGCTCCAGAGCCCCCACCCGGGCACGGAGCTGCTCCGGGGGGCACGGCTGGTACCCTGGGGGGCATGGATGGGGGTCAGGGGGCATGGATGGGGGTCAGGGGG